GAGAGGAGGAGGAGGAGGAGGAGGAGGAGTGGTTCACATTTCTATCAGAAAAAAATAAATCTGCTTTGCAATTTAATCAGGTCCATCATTATCCTGCTGCCTGCATCTCGGATGATGGTTGATGTGTTTGATGGTGATCATAAATAATTGCATAACAAATTGTTGTCGTGCATTTTGCAGCATGAGGAGCATAAAAGCTGCATTCTTGCACCTTTTATTGGCATTTAGTTGAAATGATAAAGGCAGCGGCCGCGTCGTCTGCGTGAATTCAGAACTGATTGTTTGCATCGTTCAGAAGAGAAGAAGATGAAGAGGGGAGAGAAATGACAGCCAACATCTAAACTGCATCATCAGCATGAAGCTCACCACCGTGGCCTGTCCATTCATACTGAACATATAAACGCATCAGGAGCAGCGCTGCATGTAAACTGTTTAACTGTCCAGCTTCATACAGTCAGAATGATGCCAGCTGAAGGTGTTTAGTTACGATAATTCATCTTAGATTCTTATTTGAGCAGGATTTGAACCCCCAGTGACCCCGGCTGACTGTTCTTACCTGATTAGTGATTCGCTGTGTGCCCTGTGGTTTGGACAGAGGTATTTTTTGACACTCAGCTGAGGTTGGGTTGAGTCACACTCTCGGTATGAAGTGTCAGATAAAAGCTCTCCTATGACTGGGTCACTGAGAATCGCCACTCATGCTGCTACTTGAACTGTATTGCTCAGCCAATAAAATAGTTTTTCAACGATCTTTATTATAGCTAATTATTTTCAATAGACACCTTTATCAGCATTATGTTACGATATTATGAAGAGTCTTATGAGTATATTTTGGTGTATGTGGTTTAAAATATTCCAAAAACAAGATATCACCGATGCGTTGGTGTATGTAGACACCCAGAAAAATAAAGGCGCTAAAAACAAGAAGGTCTGTTTTTAGCACCATAAAGAAGCTTTAAGGAACTATTTCCAAGTTAGCTGTTTGTCCCGTCTTCTTTTCTCATCGTATGTGATTTTGTTTCTGAGCAAAAAACTTCTGGATTAATCAAGTTCTGCATCGTTTTATCTTCAAAGTCTTTAAATCAAATTATATGTTCGGCTGAAAAACAAGCAAACACACGTTCTTTTTACTTCAGTCAATTAGAGACGAGTGAGCACTGACCCCAAATCAGTCACTACGAAGGGCAGCGTCAAAGACCAGAACCGGGTTTTAGGTGAAATCAGGACACACTGAATGGATCTGACGCATCGGTTTTATGTATGAAAGCATTTCTGGCTCCATAATATGTTTAATATTTTGGGTTCTGGACTGTTGCTTAGACAGAACAACATATTATGAGACTTAGAAAACAGCGACGGGCCTTTTCTCGCTTGTGAGGATCAATCGATTCATTAAGAGAAAGTTTGAGGATTATTTGATAAGTGCAGAACCTTCAGTACATTAAAGAATCATGTAAAGTACAAGAAGAAGCATCCCCTCAATGAAGAGTGATGGAGAAGAAGAGCCAGAGATGAAATCAGATCCAGGACATCCTGCAGGAAAAGGTGCTCTGAGTCACTTTGTTTACATTAATGTGTGCATACAGTGATTTAGCACAGCGTCATGTATGAGCGAGCGTTGGTATTTCATGTGTAGCACCAGCTAATATTTTAGCTTTAGCTGCCAAACTGCAGCGCTGGTCAGGCTCTAGGTGTGAGAAGTCGTCCCGTTGTTTCTACCTGAACACCTGTTAAACCTCAAACCCCAGAGACCAGGACCGGTGAGGCTGACGTGTAGCGTTCAGGTGACGGTTTCAGAGTCCAGCGTCGTTTTAAAAACACAACCACTGCAGGCAGGCGAATGCAAACTGCTCCCCACCCAGCGTCCCACCAGCAGCACCCTTGCCCTCTCTAATCCACCCTCATCAAGGTCCTGAATGCCTGTTGTCCCTCGCGGCCCCGTACTACCTCCTCTCTTTCAGGGTTCCATGTTCCCCTTTGTGAGGCCATCTGGTTTTCGGGGTCGGGGTTTTTTGGGGGGTGCAGAGCGTTTCTCTATAGCGGCCTGTTCTGCGGAGTTAAAGCGTGCTTTAGCGGGGTCACATTGCTAACTAGCTGACCCTTAATGGATTGAATTAATGCTGGCGGGGCCCGGCGGTGCAGTCGCCTTCCTTGGATGCAGATCGCTGTGGCGGAGAGTTTCTATAGAGAGAATGAAGGGTGTTAAAAACAGCCTCTGACCCGGTCCTCCTCATCACCTGAGCCGGAGGGGAAGAGGTTAATCCACCGTCTCTGTCTGCATGGGCTGACGTCTTTATTTAACGATTGACTTCTGATTAGCTGCGACACCCTCTTTCCTCCGTGATCATCCAGTTTCCTCGTCTTCAGAACTCATTAGATCCAGGACAGCGTTCTAATCCAGAGTTCAGTGAATTTTCCCTGTTTGGTGTGTTTACTGGTTTGTTCATTTACATGGTGGTTTGTAGTTCCTGGTCTGTTTCAGCGTCTCTCTGGACTCCATCAGTGGATCCATTCAGCTGTTGAGGCTTCTTTTTCTTTGTAGCCATGGCAAAGCTCAGAGTTCTGTAAAATACAGGGTTTTAGGGCTTTTTTTTTTTTTTTTAATGGACACTGCCAGTATTGTAACTAAGACACTCGTTCTCTCTCACAAACTGTCCTCCCTCTCCACTCCACTCTCCAGCGCCCATCCTCTCTCTCCACCCCTCCATCTCCGCTCTTTATTCCATCACCATCCTGTTCTGCTCGCTGGCTTTACTCACCCAAGGTCAGGTCTCTGTATTTTGGAAGCAGAATAGTGACTTTATTTTCCCTCCGCTTGTTCGATTGCAGTCGCGCACAAAGCGGCGGAGAGGAGGAAAACATGACAACAACCCTGAGGCAACTTTGAGTATCTCTGGGTTTCCTGCTGTTTTTAACCCTTCTTTTGATCCGCTCTCCTTCTCCTTTTTTTTTTTTGTTGTGTGTGTGTGTGTGTGTGTCATTATTAATAAACGCTATGTGCTGTGCAGTCGGTGATGAGAGAAGAGGGAAATATATAAATAAAAAGCAAACGGCGGTAGAGAAAGAAGCACTAAAGAATGAGAGGGACGTGGTCCTCCAGTGGAGACCTTGGTGAGAAGGACCGCGTGTGAAGAGCCGGAAGCCTGCCGGTTCAAATCAAATGGGTTTTGATATTTGATGACAGTCATTGTCTTCCGGGGCATTTAATGGCAGGCCAGTGCCACTAACTGTATGCCTCGAGGGCAAAGCTCATTCCTTTCATATCTGTGTCCCTCTCTTCTCAAACCTGAACAATTTCAAAAAGCACAAATTGATTTTTCTCCATTTGAAGAGCCAGAATTAAATCTGGCACCTTGATCCAGCTGCCTTGGCTTCGTCAGCCTGTCTCATGCTTCTCTGTGTGTTTTTGATGTTTTATGTTCAGATTTTTGGGCCTTTTTTTTTTTTTTTAACGTCGTCACAGCACAGACAGACGATATATAAGCAGAGGAGTAGTGGAGGTCCAGCTGAGCTATAGGGGACATTTGTGCTTGTTTCTCACTGAAAAGACATCCAGGTTTTAGGATGAAAACAGTTTGTCAGACTTTTTTAGGGCTATTACTACATTATTTACCTGATCACAGACAGGTCTTTGTCGTTGTTGTTCTCATCAGCGCTTCATAAAGACGTGCCTCACATGTCGCATCCGGACTAACACACCGGAGTACGTCACACGGCACCAGACCTGCAGCTGGAGATCATTTCCATTAATCTGTTGATTATTTTATCAAGTTGTTCTACTTGTTTGGTTTGTAAAATGTCAGAAAATGGTACAACTTGTTGATCAAGCCCAAGATGACGTCTTCAGATGTCCTGTTTTGTCCAAAGACATTCAGTTTACCGTCACAGAGGAGTAAAAAAAACCAAACAAAATATCTAAATGTAAGAAGCTAGAGGATATTTAACCGTTTTTATAAATAATAATGTGTGTCTGGATTGTTTTAATCGTCAGCTGCAGCGCTACACGATCGTCTGAAACAAAACCAAAGAAAACGTAAAGACGCACAATAACACAGTGAAG